TACATTCATTTGAAAAAGACGTTTTTGGGTAGGAAATGACGTTTTTTCAGACCAAGAGGGACGTTTTCTCATGACGAAGACCTGGCAACACTGATCATAACAAAGAAAATAAAATTGCAAGCAGCGCGAGATAAGTGAACTCGACGGGGGCTGCTCACATAACAACGCACCGACTTATCGGCTTGCAGCTGCGACGAAAGCCTGATAAGGTGATGAAATTCGTGTGCAGTCTCAATATTGAAATACGGCCTATCTGTTACATTTTTTTTACTAAAAAGGTACTTGGAGTTAACATCTGTTAAAGGCGCCCAGCGTAGGTCACGCCCACACCCTGAGATAATTATAGCTCATGTTCTACTGACTCAGCCGGGCATAAAAATTAAAAAAAGAACTACACGCTCGCTCCTTATGACTTGCCTTGTAGGGTTTCCAGTTCAAACATGGTGTTGCCTATGGGCTTGACGATGCGACACTTTCTGTATTTGGGGCAAAATTGAGCATTTATATTATTCTTGAAGTCGGAAAGCACATAGTTTCGTCGGTACACCTCTTGACCGGGCCTAAAGTGCACTCCGCGACTTCGTTTATTGTATCGCCGCGCGCTTTGTTCATATGCGGTGTGTAATCTACTTTTAATTTTTTCGCGCAGTAATTGCAGTTTATCATCGCGGTTCACAATATTTGTTTCTACGGCGCCTAACGACAACAATTTCCGCGCAAGCATATAGTCATTTCCCGACGTGAACATGTTCTGTCCGAATAACGCAAAATAGGGCGTAACGCCCTGGCTGCGTGCACCGAGGTGAATTTTGAAAAATGATCCACGACAATGAAAATGTATGCGTTGCCTCTTTTAGACCGCGGGTATTTGCCTAAAAAGTCGACGTATAGTTTCTGAAAGGGCCTGTCCGTTACTACTTCGTTTCCTATACCTCGATTCAAGGTGTAATTATGGGCTTTGCACTGTTGACATATCACGCAGTTTTTGATGTGATTTGCGATTTGGGAAGCCATCCTCGGCCAATAATAAAACCGACGGAGTCTATGCAGCGTTTTACCTATCCCGCCATGCGCCTAACTCTACGGCTCGTATGCTTCGGCTATGAGTGTCGATGTAAGCGATGATGGGATCCACAGATTCCAGGCGAATTCCTGCTCCTCATCACTTTTGGAAAACACGGTACGTTTACAAATATAGCCGCTTTCGATTTTTATATCTGGTAATTTGCTTGTATTTTCTTCAATTTATTTTTTTAGTTCCTGGTATTCCTCGGATTCGAACTCAGTGGTGTCAAAAGATAATACCGGGTATTCGCTGGCAGTAACTTCCTCGATGCAGCGCGAAAGGGTGTCCGCCACAATGTTTTCTGTGCCTTTGCGATGTTCGATCTCAAAGTCATAGCATTGCAATTGAAGCGACCATCGAGCCAGGCGTCCGTTTAAATCACGGAGGGACATCAGCCACTTCAGACTCGCGTGGTCGGTGACCACTGAGAAGGCCATCATTTCCACATATGGGCGAAAACGTTTAACAGCTAATCCGGCGGCGAGACATTCCTTCTCCGTCACGCTGTAATTTCGTTGGCAGCTATTTAATTTTTGCGAGAAGAAGGCAATGGGACACTCCGAACCGTCTTCCTCTTTTTGAAATAAAACTGCGCCTACGCCTAGATCGGACGCATCGCACTGGATGAAAAATCGCTTGCGAAAGTCTGGATGACGAAGTACCGGCGGTGTTGTAAGCGCCTGTTTCAGCGCGTTGAAGGCATCGATTGCGGCTGGAGTCACTACAAATTTTTGGCTCTTCTTGAGGGTATCCGTGAGCGGAGCTGACAGCGCCGCGAAATTATTAATGAACGCCTGTACCACCCAGCAGTACCAAGAAACTTCCGGACTTCTCGTGAGGTTTTTGGCATCGGGATTTTTCGGATGGCCTCTATTTTTGTTGGAACTGTCCTCAGCGCTCCTGCTCCAATGATATACCCAAGGTCTTTTAATTCTTTGAAACAAAAATGTGATGCTTTTAGTCCGATCGTCAAATTTGTTTTCTCGAAACAGATCGCCACTTCTTCCAGCAGTTCTAGATTGAAAGTCCTCCGAGATTACCAAACGATCATCCAAATATACAAAGACGTTCTGCTTAAGTCTGTGTGGCACTACTTTGTCCATTAAACGACATAGCCTTTGCGCGGCGTTACTAAGTCCAAACGGCATAACGCAAAATTGGTAAAGAGGCCGTCCCGGGACAGTAAACACCGTGTATTGCTTGCTATCCGTGTCCAACTCGATCTGCCAGAAAGCATGTTTTAAATCTATGCTGCTTATGTAGTGCGTATGATCGATGCAACTTAGAATGCCTTCGATATTTTGGCATCTTTCACCGTCAGCGCGTTGAGTTTCCTTGCATCCAAACAAAATCTGTTTTTACTTGGTTTTCGGACAATGGTAGCTCGATTATTCCAAGGACTCTCACATTCCTCTATCACTTTTAACTTCAGCATCTCATCCACTTCTTTATAGACAAGAGCTTGAACCGCCGGGGACATCGGATAGTGCCTGTCCTTGAATGGCACGGCACCTTTCACAAGTTGGATTGTATGTTTTTCAACGAGCGTCCGGCCATGGCCGTGTTCTTCGAAACTTCGAAACTTTTGCTTCACTGAGTCAAGCCGTTGGCATTGTTCCGGCGAAAGCTCGTGCATCGCCAGATCCCTTTCAGTGGTTTTCGTCGAGAGTTGGTGGAGTCTCTCAGCTTCCAATTCCGCCACACCGATGATCCAAAAATCAATACCGAAGTATGCGACTTGTTCCAGGTAAGGACATAAGTAGAAAGTTAATTTGCGTCTTGATCTCTATGTTTGACGTTTACCGTAGTTTTGCCCAGTACAGCATGGCTTTGTCCAGAGGCCGACTTCACCGTGGACACAAAGCGTTGAATTTCGAGGTCCAGATCCTCAATTAATTCCCTGCAGCCTTTCCCTAGGATGCTTATCGAGGCACCTGTATCTAGGAGACCCCTAATAATTCTTCCTCGTATTTCTACATCGGCGAAAACGCGAGGGTCGTTTGTATCCGCGCTTTTAACTGCTTCCGCAACGTGGAGGCGTTCCGATCTACGCTTCTGATATCGTTCACGCGCCTTCTGCACTTTCCTGGTTATGCGTCGAGCTCCTTTAAGTTGGTGTTGCTGAAAAATGCGCTGTCGAGCACTATAGTAATGACGTATTCGCTCTTCCAGAGACCTCCCAGCGATCAGTTTTGCGATAGAATTAATTTTTAAGTTAACAAGGGGATTTCGTTTTAATATCGTAATTTTATGCGCCTTTTCAGTCTTTCATCCCAGGTGCTTGCGGACGCTGCTGCTATGTTTTCCTTACAAGGCTCTATTTTTCCGCCGGAGTTTGTTGAGGGCGCGACTCCTCCGGTCTTGTCGCGCTCCGGGCTACGTTTCCCGCCGCGCACTTCGGACATTTTGGAGTTATACATTCCGGCTTGCCACATTTAAATCAGAATATTTTTCGCTGCAGACATGCAATCCGTGAAAGAGTGCCCCTCTTGTCCACAGTTCCAGCAAGTCAGCGGCTTCTTACGCTGCTGGACGGCACGGATTGCCGCGCACATTGGCTGCCAAGCTGGACTCACTTCGTCGACGATGACTTGACCCTCATCGTCATTGAATCGGTGGTCGCTGCAGTCTGGGTAAGCAAGTTCATGCACCTGGTGTGCTCGCTGTTGGTACACTCCGCCTGTCGCTGGCCGATACCGTGTCGAAAAACTCCGCTCCGCTTCGATACATTCAACTCGCAACTGCTCTACGGTGTGAAACGTCATCGGGTACACCATTCGCGCCAAGAATTCCCGGAGGTTGCATTTGATGATTTTTACGGCCTCGTATTCCGGTATGGGGCTGTGTAGACGCGATCTTAACATATCAATCGCATGGAAAAAGGCGTCGACCGATTCCCCAGGCTGCTGACGGCGTTCGGCGAGATCTCGACGTAGCTCGTAATCGTTACGATGCGAACCGAACCCACATAAGAGCGCGTGCTGCAAATTTGGCCAATCAGATACGTGGTTCGTTTTTATAAACAGCCAGTACCACTCCTGGGCGTCTCCGGCGAGTAGATGATGGAATTCACGCATCATGTCTTCCCATGAGTATCCATACTGCAAACGGAGGTGGCCCAATAGAAAGATGAAATCTTCGAGGGTGATTTTGTCACGTTGGCCTTGGTATGTTAACCCCCATTTATCAA